GAAACACTTAAAAAAACTACGACATAATAATGCTTGTAGTGGCTTAAGAAACTGCAGTTCCATGTTTTTAGTGATTTCCGACTAGGCTGCATTTGTTTTGTCCTTAGTAACTGGTTGTATTTTTTAATAAGACGGATTTCTCGTTCAGCAGTATCATTAAAAACTCTCATCTTACAACATTTAACGAAATTTTTAGGAAACCGTATTACATGGCAAATTCTGAGGTTAAACTTTCAGGAAATCTTCACTTTTCCATTTTTCTTTAATAATAAAGACATCAGAGATTCTGGTTCTTTTGGTAACATTTTCTATACTAAGGTATTTTTCTTGGTTTAATTAATATGATGTCCTAAGTTCCTCCAAAAAGCAGTGTATGTTTTTTCACTGATTTTCTTGTTCGGATAACTTTTTAGAATACTGAAAGAGCTGAATATCGTTATAGTTTTCAGAAGCAGAGAAGAAATTTTCTCAGACGTTTATTTACTTTCTGTCTATACTTTTTTTTCGCTTTCTTCCCGCTGTCTCTTCTACCTTGCTCTAGTTTTAAGTTCATCAATAATCATGCTACTTAAAAACCTTTTATTTCTTTTGAGAAAAAACTTAACTTGTCGTCAAAGTTCTTTATTTTAGTCAGAGCGTCTTTCGTCTCCTCGAGAAGGTCGTGCTGTACTCTCTTAAAATGAATTAGTAAAAAATTACTTATTATAAGTCATATTTGACCAGAGTTGCATTATTTTTTTTAATGCATTAAGTTTTATTATTATTATTAAAATAATGAGTAATATGTTTAATTTTCATTATGCATTAAGTACTTCTTTTTTAATGAAAATTTAGTTAATTACACATTACATTTTTCCAATGATTAATGTGTTCTTTTTTACCATTAAAGAAATTAGCAGAAAAAAACAAAAAACGCGATTGTTTTGAAAATTGAATATCTTTTGAACGAGTAATCAAAAAAATATCAAACTTTACCAGAAAGGGATTTTTAATGGGTACTTAAAAACATTGAAAAATAAAAGAAATCGAAAATCAACATTTTTCAAAGTGTCAGACTTAGTTTAAAATGCCCCATACAAAAAATCACCCCATCAAGCCTACCCCTGATCATTTTTTACTGATGTAATGTGTAATGTCTTTTTTTACACATTTTTAATGATTAATGTATTAAAACTACATTACCATTTACAAAAATGACGATTGCATTATTTTTTACATTAACATTTTTGCAACTCTGTATTTGACTAATTGTCATAGCGAAGCAGTTACTAATAATTAGTAAAATTCTACCGAATGTAGATTTAAATTTAAAAAAGTTTTAATCCAGCCGGGGTTTAAACTCGGGTCTGTCGATTTTCAAGCGGATGTCTAACCGAGTCGCTACTGCTACTTTTATAAAAATCAGTTATATTTGTCCATAAATATTGTTAATAATATTTTATAGGTGAATATATTTTTTGTGTTGCTGTTTTGAGCCAAACTTTTTGCATCTTTGTTTGTGTTTATGGACCATTTAACCATGCATTTTACTATAACAATTATTTGCTGTTAACCGCAAGAATTGAAAACGATTAAAGAAATTAGTTACTTTTTAAACAGTCAAATATGGTGACTTATCTTAAATTATTCAAACTATAACTATTTAAGTAGTAGAAAATGATTATTTAAAAGTGAAAACGACTATTTTGTTAGTAAACAATGCTGGTACTAATTTAATTAGTAGAATTTTGACTATTTCATTTTAATACGTATACACGACTACTTAATAAATATAAACATAGACCACAGATTAAATATACTTATCTCTTTGTACCCAACACACGAAATATTATTTTCCCTAATGAATTAATCATTCTCTTTAAATTCAAGATATTTTTAGTAATTTTTATAATTTTGACCCCAACGGCATCTGAGCATACCCTACTCTCTTAAAATGAATTAGTCAAAAATAACTAATTATAAGTCATATTTGACTAATTGTTATAGTGAAAAAGCAGTCACTAATAATTAGTCAAATTCCACTGAATGAAATAGTCAAATTAGTAAATTTAAATTTAAAAAAAGTTTTGACCCAGCCTGGGATTGAACTCAGGTCTGTCACTTGACAAGTTTGTCAAGCTAACGTCTTAACGCATTCGGCTGTCAGCCGCTCTTATAAAAATTAATTTTATTTGTCAATAAATATGGTTCATAATATTTTAAAGTTTAATATATTATTTGTCTTGCTATTTTGAGCTAAACTTTTTGCATCTTTATTTGTTTTATGGGTCATTTAACCATGGAGAGGTATATGCATTTAATTCAAATAATACTTTGTTGTTGGCCGTAAACGACTAAAGAAATTAGTTACTTTTAACTGTCAGAAATAGTCAAATATGGTGACTAATCTTAAATTAGTCAAACTTTAACTATTTACATAGTAAAAAATAACTATTTAAAAGTGAAAACGACTATTTTATTAGTAAAAAATGCTTTTACTAATTCAAATAGTAGAATTTTGACTATTTCATTTTTAGAGAGTAGGAAGCATAAATAGTTCATATTCTTAAGACAGAAAGATGTATTTAGCTTAATATACAATACAGTAGCAGTAGCTCCTCGGGGCAAATTTGCTTAACCCGGTCCTGTTAATACTCCGCCTACTTACACCCAGTCTCATGTAGATAATACTTTTCGAAGATTGAAGAAGTTGTTCTACGTAAGTGAATATATTTTATGGGCCGATCACACTTCGCGTCAAAGCAAGCTCTGCGGAAAAACTTTGCGCCTCGCGCATAAACTTTCCGTTGATTTGTTTAGTTTCATATTCTTTTCCATGTTTTCCGGCTCATTCGTATATATCACGAATATGAGATTAAGCGCAGATAGTCGCGAAACTTTCCAAAAGTATTTTATGTCATTCGACTTCACTCCGAATATCGCTTTATCGGAAACATCAAAAACTGAATATTATTTTTCATTCAAATCCACTTCTGACTTTCGAAAATGAATTTAAATTTACTCCTTTTTGATGTTTAATCCTTTAAAACAAAATAACATTTTCTGTGTTTTAATATAGGATTGCCAGGTTTAAAATGAGTTTTATAGAAAAGATGTTTATAATAAAGCAGGACAATTGCTCAGATGGAGAATAAAAATGACAAAAAACACAGTTAAAATATATTTGTTAATTTTAACCAAATATTACCCAGATTTTATGTTAATCCAGGTCTATAACTTTATGTTAAGTTTATAGCCAACTGTAATCTGTTAAATAAGTATACTTATAGTAAATTTAAAAGTAAACTACGTACACGTCATCAATCAGCTGATCGGGCACGGTTGTCAATGTGATGCTAAAATCAAGGGAAAGTGGTAGTGCAACTACAGGGCGATAGATGGCGTTTACATGAAAAATACCAAAATGTCAAAAGTCTGAGTTTTTATAACCTATATGATGCACCGCCAAAAGTATGTTTTTAGCCATTTTTAAAGACATTTTCTGATATAAAACCCAAAAATTTTGCCATCTAAAGTCAGTCTCTGGTATATATATTATTATTTCATGTATCCAACATATATTTTGTTAAATATTCTAATATATAATTAATAATAATCCTATTTACCTCTCTAACAGCTGTTAAAGGTAACAAAGGTCCATTATTATCCCGTTCTGCCTCAAAATAGCGTATTAAGCATAGATAACAAAGCCTTTTTTTTGGTATTAAGGATGACACCAACTCTTGACTCCGACTATTTAAATGCTTCGGCATTTTAAATATAGGAAACACAAAAAAACGATGTATAACAAACACAAAAACGGCAATGAAAACTTAAACGATATAAAATAACACAAACAACAAACAAAATAAACGAAATAATACACGAATTAAACGAAATATTCAAAAACACAACTGACAGCTTCGAAATTCTTATTCTTTTTTATGTGTCATTTAAATATGAAAAATTTGAATGTAAACATGACAACATCACAATTGTTGCCAACTTAATTTGGTTAAAATGCATTCAAATACCTATTCAATTACAGACTTCGATTTAGTCATTTAGTGTTGGTACCAATGCGTAAAATTTTTGTTTTATTGATGACGTGTACGTAGTTTACTTTTAAATTTACTATATTTAACATATTTAACTATAGTTTGTAATCTTAACAACAATTTTCTAGATTTAATAACAAAATCCTTTGTCAATAATTCAACCATAATTCTTGTAATTTTCAAAAAAGACCTTATTTTTACAAACCTTTTTGTAGATCCAGTAACAAAAGTATTTGTTGAAAATTGGGAACTTAAATGAAAAGAATGATAAGAAATTTTGCTTTATTAATTAATTTTTTAAACAAAAAAAATAACACATACCTACATAAATTACACAATTAAATAACACACCATTCTAAAATCATCAAATTATAAAGAAATTTGGTACAATATAATTATCACTACTACTACAACACTTACTGATGTATTTCGTAACTTTAACTCACTTCACTATATCCCCCAATTTCAGTTTGAAAACCAGTGATGGCATCTTACTAAGCACGCTCGTAAAATAGGTATAAGGAATCCCAATAATAATATAATATACCTATTATAAAAACTCTAAACAGTTGTTACGAACACGTTACGAATTATAATAAAGTAAGCAGGAACATAAGTTGCAGTTGAACTTGTTGATGGGTATTGTCAGTGGGAAATGATTTGATTGACTGCTTGAAATCACTTTTACTTTTTCAACGAAATAATGTATTAAACATTAATAAAATAATCTGTAACCTTTGAAATTAACAAAATACTTACAAAATTGCATTTTACCTTTACAAAACTTTCGGTGAATTATTTTCCTTTGTTAAGATAACCCTGGTTTTTCTACAAAAAATTATGTTAAAATTTTACAAAATAAAATTAACAAACTAATTAAGAATAAGAATTTTTAAGAATTTCTCCTTTACCTTGCAAGTAAGCATTAAAATAAACAGACTTTATTATTAATTTTTGTTTCAGACACAAAAGACGTCGTATTCGTAATTCTCAGCCAGGAGAACAGATATCATTTGCAACTTGCGGAAAACTTGAAGCTGGATATTTATAAGCAGGCCGAGCGTATTTCTAAGGTAAGTTGGCGTACAAGCTAAATATTCTTCACTTTAGTCATATAAAGGATTAGTTTTGAGCTAAACACTCAAGTTTTGCATAATCTTTGTAAATATTTGTCCTACGAAAAAACGAATATTATGAAGAATTAATTTTTTTTTAAAATATTCTATTAAAAATGTTATTTTTTAAAAAGCGTTTTACAAAATTTATCTATTTATTTTTTTAATTTAATTTCTTGGTTTACAATGTAAGACTTATTTTATTATCTTAATACAAAAATGATCTTTTGATTTCGCTGGCAGTAAACTAGTGCATTAACAATTTCGGCTCACTTTCACTGTAAAAAACGGCTTCTATATCAAATGTAAACGGTTAGTCCACTTTCAAGGAAGTTGTTTTGATTTTTACAGAAAAATTTAACAAACTAACACTGCCATTTTGAAGCCGATAAAACAGATTCCTATTTCTGTATAGATGTCGCTCTATACAAATATTTAAATTAATAAATTATTTTTTATAGAAAAATTATAATATACAACTCGTTGATAAACTTTCCTAGAGCTTGCGAGCGAGTGTTTAATTAAATTTGTGCCTGGAAAAGTATATAAAGGAGTTGCATTCAATACTTCTTTGATAACAAATACTTAATATTATCTTAAATGATTTAAATTAAATTTTTGTATGGAGCGACATCTATAACACAATAGAGCAACCATTCTTGGAAATCTGTATTACCGGCGCGCCGGTAAAAATGTCAAATTTTTATGTCTGAATCGAAATGTATCCCTTGAAAATGGACTGACAACAGTTTCTCACAGTGAAAGTAAAGAAAATGTTGACTTCACTATTTAATAATTTTGTATTTTTGCATTGATAAGAAAATATATTTTACATTTTTTTTCTATTTAGTATTATTTTATAAGAAGAATTGTGACATAAAGCCTCATCTTGTCAATGTGTAATTAAAAGGTCAATTAGTGGGCGTTTTAAAGGTGGGAGTAGAAAATGGTATATTATGTATCAAGTTTGGTAAACGTTTAATTAAATGAGTGCCTAGAAAAGTTTATAAACGAGTTGCATTCTATACTTTTTCTACGACAAATTCTTAATATTATCTAAAAAATTATTTAAATTAAATGATTGTATAAAGCGTCATCTATACAAAAATAAACATTTTTGACGTAATTCACACCATTAATATTGCCCGTTATTATTTTAATTAAACTTAACAATTTTTGATACTTTAAAATATTAAAATAACTTCAAAATATGATTATGTTAAGAAAATATTTTACCCTTTTATTTTTTTTATTACTATAATTGCAAAATATTATTACAGTAAGTATTAAAAATTCTTACACGGGAAATGTTAAAGATACAAAAAGTAATAGTTGTATTTATTGGAATTCCTGTTAGAATTTCCAACTTGGGAATCTACCTGCGTTAAAATCTTACATTTTTCTGTGTAAATCCAAATTTATCCCTTGAAAATAGACTAACAATCGATATAGAAGCAGTTTTTCACAGTAAAAGAGAAGAGAATGTGTTTTGGGCACTGTACGCAAAATTGTTAACACTTTATCAGTTAAATCTAGTTAACTACACTACTAGGGCGAAATCATAAGGGCAGTACAGACGTTCATATAATATTTTCAAATTATTGACGTCAAAAACTATTTAATACTTTTGTATTTTTGTATTGAGATAATAAAATAATTTTCACATTTAGTATTATTTTACAAGAAAGGCACTTTATTTTAACGATTGTTTGACATTTGACAACTATCAACTATCTTAAAACCAATTTCAGCCCGTTGCTAACTTCAACCCGAGACTGAAACGCCATAAAACCACAACTTGTCAATGTGTGTATAAAAGGTCACTTAGTCATGGAAACATGTATGATAATGGGCGTTTTCAATGTGGGAGTAGAAAAAATAATTTTGTAATTGTAGACAGAATGCTGAATTAAACATTACTTTTAGCCTTTCTTTTAAAATTTAATGTGATTTATGAAAGTGGTCAGATTTATTATTTTTTAAATCCGCAAGTAATTTTCTTTAAGATTTATTGAATAAGCCAGTTTTAAAAAGAAAATAACTTAAACGATTATAAACCAAGTGCTCAGGGGCGTGCTGGCTATATCAGACCGGCCCGGGAAATTCAGAAAAATCGGCCAACTACACACGAAAAATGGGGGGTGAACAAAACCAAGTTAAAAAATTTCAAACATTTATTAATATATTAATAATTAATAACATAAAGTATAAATTAAATTCTTGAAAAAAAAAACAGGCAACAAACACAACCAGACTATATTTTACACAATGCTAAAACATATAGCATTGCTATGAGGCGTCGTTTGTCCGTAAATTATTTTTGCTATATATAAGAATATTTTTTATATATAAACTTTAAATTTCCTATATATATATATATATATATAGAAACTTTTTAGTTCAGATAATGCCGCTTGAGAATGAGGGCGCTTTGTGGTTTTCAACTAAAAAGCACTGTTGCCAGAGGGTGCCAATGCAAAGTTTTGGTCAGTGTTTCCAACATAACGTTTCGCCAGATCTGGCAGATTTTAATAAAGGTCGAGGGAAAAAAGATACTCTTACGGCTGACGGATTTTTAACGGAAACTTGAACATAATATCGAATGGTATTTGTCATAAGATTTGTACGTATATAATTTAATTTGTAGTCCAAGTTTAAAAAAAAATTCTTTGTTTTTTTATAAATTGGCAAGAGAAGCATAACGTAAGAAATTTTAGTTTTTTTAAATACCTATTAGTAAAAACGAAGCCGTGTTTATTTAGAGAAATAGAGACGGCCAAAGAAGAGAAATGTTTTCTTCAATAAAAATAGACCAACCGAAAAATATATTACCTTCTTCTTCTTAAGTTTTTGACCTTTAGAATATATTAAGTATTTAAATATATTACCTATAAGTATTTAAAGTATTTGCTATTATTTTGTTCCGCTAGATCTGGCCGAAGATCTGTTATGTTGGAAACACTGACCAAAACTTTGCATTGGCACACTCTGGCAACAGTGCTTTTTAGTTGAATACCACAAAGCGCCCTCATTCTCAAGCGGCATTATCTGAACTAAAAAGTTTCTATATATATATATATATATATATATATATAGAAAATTTAAAGTTTATATATAAAAAATATTCTTATATATAGCAAAAATAATTTACGGACACACGGCGCCTCATACTTTGCACTTAAAATAAAAACTAATACAAATTATCATCGCTCAGGAAACTTATAAACAATATACAATCTCGAAAAAAGAAACAAAGCTGGCAGGCTGGCATGCATGGTATGTGTAAAATAATTATGATATTTATACATAACTCAACTAAAATAGTATATTATGTATCAATTTTTATAAACACCATTTTAGTTACGAGTTTTATTAAGCACGAGCGAAGCTTGCAAGCGAGTGTTTAATAAAAACGAGTGTCTAGATAAGTTTATAAAACGAGTTGCATACTATATTTTATCTACGACGACCACAAAGAAGAATTTAAATCCAATTTTATTTGACATCTGTCAAATGTCAACGGAATTAACCTCACTTTTCTCTAATTTATAATAAAGCTAACTTTAGCGCGTGACTAAAATGCCCAAAAGCCAGTGTTGCTAACTTCAGCCCGTGACTAAAATGCCATAAAGTTTTTAATTGACCACGTGCTGCGGCATTCTGCCTACATAGCCCTCCGGCACACCGGCCCACTTAGCCCTCCGGACCACCGGCCCACCGGGATTTCTCCCGGTGTCCCGGCGGCCCAGCACGCCCCTGCAAGTGCTAACTACCTATTGGTATTATAGGAACTGTTATTCAGGAGAACTGATTACAAGATCCCATTGGTTTAATGGCTCACCCATGCATGCTATGCTAGCGTTTTTTCTGTGTAAATTTCTACATGTAGGTACAACAACCTGGAATTTTTTCAAAATTTTCTCAAAGCGACTAATATCGTGCCCGAACCTCCTTAAATTTGTTGACAGTGGTATATATTTTTAGCTACACAAATTTTGAACTTTTTCCGTATAAATATTTATTTTATTTAAACGAAAAATAAGACTAAAATCATGCAGACAAAAGTTATGATTTAATCAAGCAATTTTAATTAATAACCGATAAGCAATTAGTTCGGGTCTATAATAATGTGAAAGACGCTTTTAGCGTTTACCTTTGTGCCTAGCTTTTCATAATTTCAAACGGGCCGTTCCAGAGTAACTCCTCGGCTGACCACTATCAATTTAACCGCGCACGCAACAGCTCCGAATTTACAAGATAATTAAATTAAATATTATTGAGTTATTATAATTCGTTTCGCTGCAGTCACGATGAATCAATAGTTATATTACATATTGTATTATATTATCTGTTAATTAGCAAAATTAGTTAATTAAATTAGCTGTCGTTTTAGGTTTATTTGATTTTAAAATGGAAATAAAAATGTTTATTTAATAACTATAATTAATAATTAATTAATAGTTTATTTAATATTTTTATTGGTATTATGTTTGAGCCTTTTTAGCGAATTGATTGTTTTTTATCTTTATTTTTTTATAGTTATTGTATTAAAAGTATTAAAACTTTGCGACAAACTCTCTAGATATATATATTAATTAAATATTCTGCAAGCATTTCTCTTATCACCGCTTTTGTTTAATTTCGTTCGGATCTCATGCCAGCATCGACAGACGCGTTTCGTTCTTGTGAAACTCATCAATGCCGAGTTGCTATAGGCATATTTTTTTACTTTTTGCAAATTGTGTGGGCTATACTATACTATACTATATACTATATACTTACGAAGGCGTAGAAGGGACAATTACACTAAATTCATTTTTATTATTTTATTCTGCCTTAGCTCACAGAATTAAATCCACCATATTTAATTCTGCGGTAGCTAACACAGAATTAAATCCGCCATATTTAATTCTGCGTTAGCTAACACAGAATTAAATCTCCCTTATTTAATTCTGGGT